CGCAAATTCCGCATAATGTATTGTTTATTATTCTGTGCGATCTGTTTGTGAAGTTAGCGCTATCATTTTTGTTCTTCCTCATATCTGTTCCTTATTGCTAATTAGAAATTGTTCTGTTCTTGCTTCTTTGATTATCCACGTGGACGTTGAAAAACGTTTGTTTACATTGATATTGTTCTCCGCTCGCTATCAATTAGTTCATTACCATATTTCGATAATCTTACTTAAGTACATGTATTTGATTGAGGTGAAAATCTTTGTAAATGCCAGACGTAAAAAACATTTATTATGACTTAGACATCCATAAAGAAAAGAGAAAAAGAGATTGTAAAGGTTCAGAATGTTTTCAAAAATAGTTAGGTGCTAGACAATGTGTCATGTACACATACACACTTCTACTTGTTTTTACTACTATTGAGTATAAGGAGTGATAACTTAGAATAAGACCAGAAATTGATACAAGACCGTGAATATTTGTTTAAATATCAAACGTTGTTCTTAGTTTTTTACCAAATACACTGAAGTTCACCATTTTGTTGTTCTTAGTCTATCCATCAGATCGAATAAAGTTCATGCGAAGGTGGCTGTTTTATAGCAATGATGGGCGAGTCGCATTTTTTTTATGACTCGGACTCGAACTCGAGATGGAAGACTCGATAAACTTGATAAATTGACTCTAGCCACTTTCGAGTCAGTCATGTGCAACTTGGGATTGTTATGACGGTGTTTATTATATTTGTTATATATCAGAGCAGAGAAAGATTTGAGAAACGCGTCACATGAGATCCGCTCTTGGAAAAATGAATCAGGAGGAAGTTTTCCTCTAGAAAATAACTCGAGTCAATTTTTGATGCGACTAGGGCTCGTACCTCGACCCGAAGGCTATTGACTCGGACTCAAAAAGTGGTGACTCGCCCATCTCTGTCTTATAGATACTTTTCTAAGATATGTTTATTTTATCATGGATTTACGAATTTTGTCTTTTTTCATTCATCTTTCATAAAATTAAATAAACAAAATATATATGTTGCATTCGGCAGGAAATAGTAAACATGATTCTTTTTAATTTTTCGAAATAGGATATTTAATACAAATGTCGAATTTTATACTTGGATTTAGTGAAGGGGTATTTTTTTTGTCCTAAAGTTTGAACGGTACATTTCATGAAAACAAAAATAGCTTTATCTACTTGTCGTTTAACCTTCACTCTCTTTGTGTCTAGCAAATTTCGTCACGCGACTTTTGTCTTGTATTATATATTCGTCTCACTTGTTGCTTCTTAACATACAGAAAGACAATGATTTTTTATTTGTTTATTTATTTCATTTGTTTTTTCCAAGAAGGAGGAGCTCTAGAGTTATTTAGACATTGGAATGATTTTTTTGTTTTTTGTGAAGCTTACTAAGACTGGAAAGGTCTTACACGTACGCATACATATGTGTGAATGTAGACGTGTCTATCAGTGTGTTGATTTTTATATACAATTCTATATATGAAAATATGCATTATGGGAAAAAAGGAACAAAAAAAAACGAAATCGGTCAGATTTGACTAGGATACAAAAGACACAATAGAAAAGAGGAAAGAAAAAAATTGATACTGTGTGCACGATGAAATTTCTATTATATCGTATATCCTTTTCTGTCATATATTTTATTTCTCTTATTGCGAACAAATAGTTCATCTCTCTTTCTCTCTCTCTCTTTCTCCCATCTTATACATGAAACGACAAAACGGTGACGAAGTGTAAAAGTCGAGTATTGTGTGTTGGCATTAAGCCATTTACCATCGAATTCTCTCTTTTATATATGTATATATATGTTGGTCTCTATCTCTTACTTTTATAAATTCTTAAGCAATAGTACACGTAGAATGAAAAGATTTTCTTTTATGTTTGTTATATTTTGACAAGGATTTATATTTTTTGTACATGTATTCATAGACAGATAGAGAAGAAATTTGATCGAACGATACAAAAAAAAAAGAGAATAAATCTCAAATATTGAAACATCTGCTGTATAAAGAAGTTCAACTAAAATACATTCATTTAAGAGAGGAGACATTAAAAACTAAGCATATTATTTCCTAGTCTATGTCACATTAACCTGTTATTTTTGTTGTTTGTTTTTGAGAATAAATTGAGTAAGAATTTTTTTTACTATTTTTTTGTCTCATATCTAATATATAAATATATATTATATTCAATCTTAGTTAAATAACTAGTCTATTTTCTGCCCTCTCATAGTAGAATTGATAGATACTTTTTGTATGTCCATTATTCTCTCGTCTTTAGCGAAAGACATGGTTAATATTTTGTATTCTCTCAAACTGACATTGATGAATGAGATCTCACATCGATATTAGTAAGAATATGATTTTAACGTATAATTGATAACTAAGCGTCAATCGATATCCGTTTTTTTAGACAAGATATGTCCAACTAAAATTCGTTCATCGGTTTAAAAAAATTGTCACCTCGTTAAGCTAGACATAAGACTAATCGAATTCCTATTCGCACTGTAATTAGAAACTCCAATATTCTGTTCAAAAAACGAGTTGGACTCCTTTTATTTGTTCATATTGTACGATTAAAGCAAACTATGCTAAACTTTTAAAAAAAGAAAAAAAAAATGCAAAGGTATCTAATGACTAAATAGAAGGTAATTAAATCAAATTTATGGCAATATCTTGAATGAATCTAACTTGACATTTTTTTCTTTTCTTTTCCAACACATTTGCATTACTAATAATAGTATGTTATCGGATATTATTTTTTTATTGGAAGTTTATAGAGAAAAAGTATTCCTGAATAAATATGCGCGTCTATCTCGATTAACTTTGTCGAACATGTGGTGTGGTAATGTTGTGTAACAGTAGATGAAGTTTTTCTCTTCAATGTGACAATTGTTTTTTTATTCTAAATATTCGATTTGTAATAAGATTATTATATTATTACAGCTGATTGAGGTAGGAAAATGATTTGTGTATATGTATGTGTATGTATATATGTAATAAAATCTGAAAATCTTTTTATAGGATTCATGATGTAATACAGAATAAGTTGAATACACATGTAAATTAGAAGTCTCTTGATGTCTCTTCTGTGCATACACATACACACACGAACACATATATGAATGAATATGTTTTGATGATTATAGTGAGAAAATGCAATTTTCTGAAATGTACATGTTTTTCATCACAAGATTTGATACTTACTGCTTTAGAAAGAAGAACTATCAAAGATAGAAAGAAGTAGTAAATTAGTAACAGAAAGAGGACATGTTTATGTATTGAGATGATATATATGAGTATGTTAATAATAAATAAATGATGAAATGACCTTCCTTGAAACTTAGATGAAAGATTTGATGCACATACACTGAGTCAAAGAAAATAATTTATTAGATTGTCTTTAAGGTCTTATGCCCGAGTCCTTTCAAGGTCTACATTCAGTATTGTAAAATTGAGCATAGTATTAAATTAGGTTAGAAAAAAACACGTATAGATATATAAGAATTAATAGCATATCATCTATGTTTCAAACTGACTTTTGTGTGACACAAGAAAAATGAAACATCAGCTGCTGTCACAAATTGCTCTTTTCTTCTATTTTTTTTTTGCATATATGTAATCTACAGATTGTTTTGCTTTATTATTATTATCATTTTATTGTGTCGTTACTAAATAGACTGCTATATGTGCTTGTTACCTTCAGGATTAATAGGATCGAACATTTTCTCCTTATTTTTTGTTTTATTTTAGAATGTATCTGTATCTAAAAATATAATTATTCCACAAATAAAACAAATAAAGAGAAACAAATGGTTATTAACAAAATGAAATAAATAATTAGAAGAATAAGATATCTTTAGTCGTTTTATTGATGGTATGTCAAATTCTTTTTTTTTATATTTGATTATTAGATAATGTTAATATTAAAAATTAATGTTTATCGTGTAGTCGAACGTTTCTCATGTTGTTTAAAAAAGATATATAATTTAATCATGAGAATTTTTCTATTTCTCTCTCTCGTTGTGTAATTGAATGACACCGATTGTCATCGCTGTTTTTGACACTTCATTTGAGACCGTCTGCTAGCACAATATCATCAAGTTACTCTTTCCTATAACCTAGAATATGAGATCAATACATTGAAATTTGAGATGAAACATTGTTTTTTTGATTTAAGTATAGTAACGAGGAACATTTGTCTTATGTAAATAAAAAAAGATGCTTGTGTACAAACTCATTTTTATCTGGACATTCATATAGGAATACTGATTGGACTATTTAAGATGGAAGAGATAAAGAGTGAGAAATAGTTCAAACAATTATCGATTTTTCACTGAGTTTATGTGTACGTGGTTTATTAATCTGTTAGCACTCCCGTTCTAATCTGTTTTATATGTTCATGCGGTCATTATTTTTAGAGTACATATAGAGATATATTCATATAAATATCTTTATGTATCTGTACTATAGATATTCCATATTTTTCGACTTCCGAAGTCGATTTATTTCTTATATAAAGAAGAAAAAGAAAAAAAAACCAGCATGTCAAGATATAAACAATGATAACAATTTAGAAATTGATGCCATCATTGTATATAGGTATCTGAAAAATATGTTACGTAAAAGAGAAGAAAAAAAAAAGTCAGTGCATTGTCCTAAACAAAGATACATAGAATATATAATGTTCTTTCATCTTTTTCTAAAAAGAACAGGAAAGAGGAAAAAAAAACGATATGTACAAACTGCATTATATTATGCATGCAATCACTAACATCATCATCATCATCATCATAATCTTGATCATCATTTCAACCACTGTATTTTACTGCAAATACATTTTCAGGTTTTTTCTTTCCTCGTTTTTTTTCCCCCCGTCGATCGTTATCATAAGATTCAGCATCATTCTTGGCTCGATTATTTTTCTTCTCGTTTTTTTTTCTTCTCATCAGTTATTTTTTCCTCTTCTTTTCTTCTGTTAATAGGCTATGTACAAAAACGTGCAAGTCAATCATTACACAAGTTTGCCTACTAAACCAACAACGACGGCTGCTACTTCTTCTACTTCTACTAGTAAAACAACTACTACTGATTCTTCTTCTGTTTTAAATAATACAAACGACGTTATCATAATAAAAAAATCATCTTTACCAGCACCACCACTACCACAAACATCTTCATCTAGTTCTTCTCCATTAACAATACCGTCAAAAATTAAACACGATCCAATAACACTACCTGTAACACAATTACCGTCTACTTCAATGTCAAAAACAACTACTCGTCATTTATCATCAAAATCGGAAGTGGATCAATTAGATGATCTTGTTAATGATTTATTAAATGAAGTTAATCGTCCTTTACAATCGTCTACAACAACAACAACAACAACCGATCGAAATTTAAAATATCCTAAAGAACATTTTAAAGAAACAACAGAACAATCTTATGGACAACATTCATCTGTGAAACATAATAATGAACCACCTGTAATCTCGTCCTATTCATATCGTCGACGTTTTGATAATTCAGATGGTGATAGCAAACCACCACCACCATCTTATCATCAAGCATCAACTTTATCATCATCAAACTTGAATAATAGTTTAAAACGTAATTTTGATGAACGTACAGCAAATAGCGTTAGTGGACTAATTGATCAAGATATTAGTAATACATCGAATAATAATATAAGATCGACGACACGAACAACACGAGAAGAGCGTACACGTATTAGACGTGGCGGTGGAATTGGTAGTCAACATTCACAAAAAATCGGTACATCATCTGATGTACCTCTAACATCTTCGTCATCAACAACAACAACTACAACAACAACAAAACCAATTAAAAATGATTTAACATCACGTGATCAATTATTTATTGATGAACAACTTATTGATTCTCTTCTCGAAAGCGTTCAAAATACATTGAAAAAACGTTCACAACAAAAACAATTTGATCATCAAACATCGGGATGGTCAAGTGAAAGTGGTGCGGGTAATGGTGGTTTTAAGACCGTTCAACATATTCCAACAACGTCAAGAAGAACTTATAGTAGTAGTGCAGCCTATTCAGATACAGTACATAGAGTAAGTAATTAAAATATATTATCTAATATGAACATTGTCATTTTTTCATGTTTAATTAATTGATAGTTTCATATCAGAAAAAAAGAGCATACATTCGTTTTCGTTAATTGAAAACAAAACTCATTTGCAAAATAATCGAGAAACAAACCACTATTAAGCCTATTTTTTTATATCAATAGTTATCTCTAAAACTACATAGAAAATTAGTTACTTAATGGTAAAATATCGATAGTATATAGATCACGAGTTTAATACTTTCATTGCACTTTCATACTATCTTACGTTTGTTTCAATTCCAACGTTATTTTTCTGATTTTCAATGCGACACCGCAACTGACATATATATATATTTATATACATTTGATTTCATGTTGTAATATGCTCAACGAAAAAACTTTCATAGACTGAACTAAAATTGTCAAAAACAAAAAAATGTTGATTGATTTTAATTAAAATAATTAGTTGTCAGTTCAGCAATTCACTTTTTTTTATCTTAATTTAAATTCGGGCTGTTATTTTGATTTGAAGCTACTCTTGTTGTTGTTGTTGTTAAGAATATAAACGCCACAATTCATATTAACTAATATTGATCGTCTTTTGTACAGATATTTTTCATTTTAGTTTCGCTTCACTGGTCATGTTGAACAATTTAAGAACTATAATTCATGGTCATGTTTTATCTATACCTTGAATGCTTTCTTGTTTTGTTCTTTTAAAATACATATATATATATATATAAATAACTAGTATGATATGATCAATATTTATATGAGGATATATCTGATGAACTAGTATTTTTATATGTAGTCAATAATATTTATAATTGTTTGACAAAAATTTAAACTGATATATTGATCAGTATAGATAGTGTTTAAACATAATATTAAACACTATGATGTTTAATTGATATCTTTCTACTTAATTAATGACACTTCAGTTGGTGTACTACTATAAAAAAAAATAAAATTAAGACGATATCTATTACATAATGAAAAAAGCAAACAGTTGACGGGATATGATAACATAATAAATTACAAATCGAATAAAGAAGAATCATAACAGAATATTCTATATACAGATCCTAATAAAATTAATATGTGAATTATAATAATGATAAGATTCCACTATGGCAAATAAAAATAAAAAATAAAAATAGCCTACTGTTTATTCTTCATACATTATTCATAAATCTAATGACATATAGCACATATGAACACAGTTATCAAATACTAATGAGAAAAATATTGATCTGAAAACGATAGAGTAACACAATTTTTTTGCTTAGAAGAGAAGAGAAGAAACAATAACAAAGATGGCTCAATTGTCAATGACCATCAATTTTCATTTCTGAATGTTTTTTTTTTAATAATATTTAAAAAATTTGAAATTATGAACAAAATTAATATTAGTAGATTAAGGAATATAACACAAAGGCAGAAAAATCTTTTTTTCGCACAATCCAAAAGAAGATTAAAAGAAAAAATTATAAAATATGAATTTTTTATCTTCAAATAGAATCTTTATCTGTTTAACGAAATAGACGTCTTGTATATGACTGTTACCTGAAAAATGTATTTTTATGTTAAACTGTTTAAAATCATATGACTTAATTTTTGTATTTTTCATCTGCAATCGAGATTTGATAATATTTTTTCATTTATTTATTTAGGCGGATCCTTCATCGCAAATGCGTGGTCGATTTCCAATCAAATTATATCGGACAGATAGTCCAGTAAATACATTATCTTCTAGGAGAGCATACAGTCGTCATGATAACCGAGGTAATTTATCTAAAAAATTTGGTATAATATTTAATATATATATAGTTTTTTTTATCAAATATTTTTAGATGTTGGTCTCAGCAGCTATGGAGGAACATCACACAGTCACACCGTTATTCCTACAAGTATACGGGCAACATCTGAACCACCACCAGAAGGTCCAATTCGAATGGAACGTATGGATCTATTACGTTCTCCATCTCGTACACAAATGGATGTTGGTGGATTACCGTCTTCATCCTCGTTACCTTATTATCATTATTCACATCATCATTCAACGTTACCATCTGGTGGTCTTCATGTACGTGGTCACGATTATTCAGGCTACGATACAGATACAGGAATAGTAACATCTCATCGTGGTCAACGTTTTTATGATCAACATCAAGCGTATCCTCCTTCGACAACCATGTATTCCCAGCATAATATTTATCCACAACCAATGCATTTTGTACGTGATCGTCAGCAAACATATTCATCGTCTCAACATCAACCACGGGGTCTAAGCGGAAGACCAGATGGTTATGATACCGACACAGGTTTAATAAGTAGTGGACGTTTAAGAATGGCTAGAACATTACCACCAAGAATGAGTACGATACCTGAAACTGTTGTAGTAAACAATAGGATTTTGTCAAATACAAATTTAAATACATTATCTCCACAACTACGCGGCAGTTCGTTTTTGAATGAAGTTCAACAATCGCCAACTTCACAGTCGAATACACTACATCGACAATATTCAGGTTTTGATACAGGGGGTAGTGGTTATGAAACGGATAGTGGTATGCATATAAGGCAGCGACGAACAATACCTGTTGATATTCAATATGGAGATAGTGGATGGGTAGGAGTTGGTGGAACACAACATTATAATAGGCAACAGCAACAACGTAATAATCAAACATTGCAACCGCAAAACACTCAATATTATCATTCTCAACAACAAATACCTTATCATCATCAACAACAACGTTTTCAAAATGTACCCATTTCGACTAGTATTAATTCTTCATTTAGACAAAATATGCCATCCACACAGTATCATTCACATGATCATTTAAGATCGAGTGGAAATCCTGTTTCTGTACATCATAATTATACAACATCAACAGAACAACAGTATCCACAATCACAAATAATAAATCAGCATGTTGATAGATCATTTACATCCGATTCGAAAACACAGAAAAGGGTAAGAATGCATTTTTATATTTCTTTTATGCACGAGTTTTCGTTCTTCTTATAAACATCCCACTCAAAACTCTAAGATAATTGATTATCGCATACGATAGATATATCGTTCGATTAAACTCAAAGGATAATGAGATAAATTTAACATCTTTTGTCTCTTACATATGACAGATTCGTTGACTGATTTTTTATCTCTGACAAAGGATAAAATGGTAAAATATTTTTCAATAAACAGATGAAAAATCCAGTAATATTCCTATTTGGACTCAAATATTATCATACATACACACATACATATACTGCACGTTCACCAGCATGACAAAACAAGAAACTATGCATGGATATTATTGTTATTACGATTGTATTGGTACTCATAGACGTTTGAAGAGAAAACAGAAGCAAAAAGAATATTTTTATTCTCAACTTGTAGATCGAACAGCCATCTTCAAATAATCAACAAAATTTAAAAACAATAATCTCATCTTCAGCTACTGCCGAAGGACATAAAAAAGAACAAAAGCGTTCACCATTTATTCTGGGAGGAGTGGGTTTATCAAATCCACCAAAACAATTCCATCATGAACATACTACATCCAATAGAGAATTACCGCCATCAACAATGTTACAACAACAACAACCACAACAAAGAATATTTTCTGATTCTTATCAACAACAGTCATCATCGAAACGTCCAATAAGACCCAATCGTATAATGGATGGACAAAATGAGACTGATAGTAAAAAAATATCAACAACGATTTCTTCACTTACTATACCTATTGATAATAATCCACAGCACACATTTTCATCTATAGCTGAGATAAATATTGTAAGATTTCTAATTAACCATTCGACTATATGATTCTTTTTTTTTGACTGTTTGTTTATATTTATCATTTACACATTTTCTCAACATCTATTTTCATTATTCTAGACTCCAAACACAACCGGCAATATTACTCATGAAAATATGAATACAAAAATGACATCAATACCAACATTTCCGCTAAATACATTAGCATGTAAAATATTTCCATATTTCCTATCTAAAAGATCTTTATATTTGTCTTTTCTTTTAAGATAATCAAAATTTGCAAACTAAAAGCAGTTTAGATCATCGAATAGGAAATAGGTAATCAAAATGAAGAAAAAAAATAAATAAAGTTTTTATCTAATTTTGTTACATTATGTATTCTTTGTTTAGTTCATTTCGTAGTCAAGAAGAAAGTTCCCGACGTTCGAGTGTGTCATCAGCAGCAGGTAAAAATTTAAAATATGATATTTTCTACGTTTATCTTTTCTTTATAAAATTCGTAATTAGTCATTTTTCACTATTGCTTAAAATAAATGCAAGATTGTATTTTTAGAATCAGATGTTCTACGTAATGGTTCACAATATGTTCATAATATTAGTAAATATTGGTATAAACCAAAACTTTCACGTGAAGATGGTAATTTGAGATTAATTTATTAAAAAAATAATAGTCATTCAAATTAATTTCTATACTTTTGTTGTTTTTTAGCTATATCTCTGTTAAAAACAAAACCACCAGGAACATTTTTAATAAGAGATAGTCAAGGCTTTCCTGGCTCGTACGGATTGGCTATTAAAGTTGCCAAATTACCTCCATCTGTTCAGGCAAAACCAGGTAAATTGAGCATGTTGTACATTATACAGTAATTCAAATTTTTTTTTGCTTTTTTTTTTGAAGGAGCTGATCCAAATGCTGAACTCGTCAGACACTATTTAATTGAACGAACACCAACAGGCTATGTAAAATTGAAAGGATGCGTTAATGAACCAGATTTTGGTAAGAACAATAATCAATTCACCTTATTAACCACAATAATACAAAACAATTGTCTTTTACAGCTACTTTATCAGCATTGGTTTATCAGCATTCATTACTACCACTTGCTTTACCATGCAAAGTGACATTACCAGAATCAGATATTTTGGATGAATATGAACGTGGTGCTCAAGATATACGAAAACCGTCACCTAAAGAACTGTTAGATAAAGGAACTGGTAAACAATTTTTATGGTAGATTTGCCACATTTATTTTCATTTTCTTACCATTTTTTTTCTTCTAGCATGTAATGTATTATATTTGAATAGTGTGGATGTTGAACAATTGTCGGGTCAAGCAGCAGTTACAAAAGCATTACGTTTAACATTTGATAATGCCGACAATTTACAAGCAACAATTGTTTTTTTTAAAGTTTCAAGTCAGGGAATAACATTAATCGATCAAAAGAGAAAGTATGTAGATAAGAGAATAGTCAGACACGACAATATTCAAATTATATAATCTTTTTATTTTATTAAAGATTATTTTTACGTCGAGATTTTCCGAAAGAAATTGTTACATATTGTGGTGTTGATTATGAAAATGATCGTTATTGGACATATCAATTTCCAGATCTCGATACTCTATCGAGAGCAAGGTAGAGAGCATGATCATTTACATAATACATTTGCATTATTCTGTTATTGTTTTTTCTTCTCTAGATGTTTTGCTTTTGTATCGAAAAAATCTGGTAAATCTCAACAAAATGAATGTCATGTATTTGCTGAGATCGACTCAACTCAACCAGCAGCAGTCATTGTTAATTTTGTCTCAAAAGTAATGATTGGATCTGTGCCTGTATAAATATAATATTTTTAATCTATTCCTATTATTATGTGTTCTCTCCAATTTTCGAATGAGAGAAACTATATTTGCAATCGTCGCCATTGTGTTATTATCGTTTAACGTTAATTATTCTTCAAAATTCGGTTGTTTTTCGCTTACCGTCTATTAGTTTTTGTTCAGTAGAACAAAAACTGTTTCGCACAGTCTTCACTGTAATTTTCTTCTTTTTTTTTTCTTTTTCTAGCGTGTGCTTTGAGTGTGATTGTGCGTGTATTTATATTTTGCAATTAGTTTTTTTTAGAAATTTTTTTTTAAATGTATTTTAGTTTTCGCTTTTTACTCTCAAAGAGAGTCTAGCTCCCTTTTAACTGTTTGTTTTCATCTTTCAATGTGCACAATGCCACATTAGGTTATTGTTGTTTTTTTCTAAAAATCTATTTTACTATAGATGAAAATATTTCTTAATGCAGTCTTTTTTTCTTTCTAAATATATCTTATTATTCGTCATTTTGCTTTCGTTTTTTCGAAAAATGAAAATCTTAGAAAAACCTCAAATATACACAGACATCAGTACAACAGTGATCATAGAACAAACAAAAAAAAAATATATATACACACATGTATATCGTATAATTCTTTTAGTTTCAATTTGTTTTTGTTTTTTGTATTTTATTGGTGCTTTTTCTATCGTTTTCTGCCCTTCTGCCCTACGTGAATCATGCATAAATCATGTAATACAAGAAAATGATGTCTGTCTTGCTTAACTGGAAGAATTGTACGTTACTTCCGTACAGTTTCATATACTAAATTAACAAAGAATACTTATTTTGTTTTTACACACTAATTACGTTTTATTTGTTAGTTTGCATCGACTCTCTTATATATATCTATATATACATTAAAATCATGTTTAGCAAAGAATATTTGTTTTTCTATGAAGCTTCTTGTGTTGTTTTTCTCTTTTTTGTTTGTTTATTCTTTGTTGTTTCGGATTTTTGTCTGTTCACTTAATTGAATTATTACTTGTTTTATAATAAAATATAAAACACACAGAATGAGAGTCCATTTGAAATATGTGAATAAAAAATACTTTTAATGCTTATGCTAATGGTAAAGAGAATGATGGTGTTAAGAATAAAACTCACTTTTATTGCATGAACAGTTTCTTCAGAATAGAATCTCGAAAATATTTTCTCTAAATAACTGTTTATTTTTTCTTGTATTCTACCATTTTCAACTCTTTTCTTTGGTTTGGTAAACTTTATAGTATTTTTGAATAGACATTAGTTTACTACTGCTACTGTTACATTTATCTTGTTTCATTTTCCAAGCGTTAATTAAATCTGTTCTATGAAAAAAATTCATCAACATCGTTTGAGAAGATAAACTGTCATTCATGCCAAATTTCGTATATTTTCGGAACGAACGCGTGACCTAACAGAAAAGCAATGTTTTCACTCTCAAAGTTCACCGATCGTTTCTATCAAATTTACCAGTTAGTCACTGATTGACTTAGGAGATCTCGGTGTAGGACTGTACAAGTGAGGCACCTCTGTTAATTCAGGATTAAGTGCGCAACACGTGACCATTTCAGAGTAATATCAAAAAACTTTCAAAATTAATGGTCCTAGTGGACACTTCCTGTCATAAAAACTCAATGACAAAGATATATCGACTATAATTGCTACTGCGCTCCACACAGTTCGATAGCGGTCCTCATTGATGCATTTGAGTAGAAGAACAACGTTGATTTTTAGCAGATACAACGTAACGCTTTGCCATATCGCGATATGTCCTATCAAATCTATCGAATTCTTTTCGAAAAAGGACGAAAATTTGAAAAATGATCGAGCGTGTCTGTGTTTCTGTACTCGATGGACAAGCCATTCAGGTGGCAGACGACTGAAATAAAGAACTTTCGAGTGATGGAGGACCATTTTCCTTTTATGGACAGGGAGATACATCCAGTCAATGATCACATCACTAAAGTAAAACACATACATATCTGATGATCGATTTAGTCAAACGAAGGATGATAAAGTGTAACAATGAATATGTTATCTGCAAGCTATAGGATTAATTCTAACTCTCACTTTAAGAAGCTACTTTTGACTGCTACTGAGGAATAGTCTTGTTTTTTAACTCTGGTGGTTGAGGGCTTCACATGGTTTCAAACTGGTTCTAATAATTTTTTAGATAATACAGTACTCCGCAAAAGTAGCGGGTCTCCTGTAACTCCAGAACCATGATAGTGAGGGACTTCTAATTTTGTGTAGTCATAGGTCTCACCGAATGCTGATCACCCAACAAGTATGGGCCTCTACTCCTAGATGGTTTGTGAGATATAAGCGATTTATGTCTTGTCTTAAAATATCAA